ATTTGGTCGTAAGTACCAAATTCCATCCCATTTGGGCTAATATTACACGTTTGGTGCACAATAAAAGGCAAATCGGACGAACATATATATGGGAGCTATATCCAAATATTAACCGATCTCGATAAAATTTATCAAGGGTATTTCTGAGTTATATTTGATATATTTCCCCAAATATCCTTGTTACAGAGTGCATATTACGGCTGCGGAGGACAACAATAACAAAGCGGATGTACAATGTATATGGGAGCTATATCTGTATCTGAACCAATTTCGATAAAATTTGGCATACTTATTTTCGAGTCCAATCTGGTCGTATGTGAAAAACTCGCGATATTACAAGTCCTTAGGTAAAACAAATTATTTGTGCAAAATTTAATTTAAATCGGGCAATAAATGCGACCTGAACTTTGTTAACAAAAATACATTGGTAGACAGACGGACGGATGGACGGACATGTATAAATCGACTCAGAATGTGATTCTATTCAGATCATCAAAAGGAACTATGGGTCTATTTCGTTTCTTTTGCCTATTACAAACAAATGCACACAGGCATAATACCCTTACCATCTTGTGGTGTAGGGTATAAAAATATGTTATGTTGGTCTAGTTTTTGGTGTAGTGATAACATAAGGGTAAATCACGATTTCAAGTATCTTTTTCATTGTAGTCATATTTTACATTTAATTCCGCCAACGTTTTGTATTTTAATGTCCTATTATGTAGCTACTAACAAAAAAATCAATATAGGTCCATGGTCATATTGCCCTATCGATTTGCCTAAAAATGTGTTATAAATTGAATCATTAATTTCAATAGACAATGGAAATAGTTGCTTTGCATATGATTAATTAATACGTATATACAAAATGGTTCTTTGTAAAAATGGTTGAATAGATTTTGTAGCTTTGTATTTTTATTCATTTGTAAGATATGACGAAATTGCATATATTTCGCAATGATTTAATACAAAAACTCTCAATTTTATCTCTTTTTTTCCTACTCTATTTATTTTCCTACAATCTATCAAAATTTAGTACCATTAAGTACGGTTGTTACACTTTCTGTACTTTCCAAAACCACGTAATTATAAGAACCGTATTTCTACGAATTGATTCTCATATACAATTTAAAATGTTTACTTCTATTCTTTAACATGATTCCAAATGGTACCAAATGTTTCGAATTTCGAATAACCCTTTAGATTGTCTATTCTACACAACATCAAAGACTTTAACTCCAAATTTCAGATTTCCAGATCTATTCCTTCCATAAATATCAAAGTTAATACTGTTTAGTATTTTCGCAATTCCCCGCCAAATATCAAAAAAACCGCACCAAAGATGATCTTAATGCCAAAAATCAGACTTCCAACTCAGTCCTGTACAAAAATACCAAATTTAGTACTATTTAGTGAAAATACGTACTTATATTTTCAAAACCACTGCGAAATCTCAACTCTACCCACTAACTGTGACCCAATTGCCAAATTTCAGATTTCAAGCAGTATCCCTTGAGGTAATACCAAATACCATTCGTGCACATAAGTACAAATTACGAACCCTATCTCCATATCCATTTCACAGTAATTTAAATTCCAAATTTCACGATTGCAGCTATATTGGCTCAACCAAATCCAAAACGTCCCAAATTTAGTAAACATTTCCAAAACGACCCCCATATTTCAATTCAAACTCTAAGAGTAATCTTTTTTCAAAATTTCAGAATTCCGGCTCCACCGGTTCAGCCAAATTCAAATTGTACCAAATTTAGTGCACATAAGATCAAATTTTCATAACAACCAAATTAAATTTAAGTGTTTGTTTTCTCTTTCGAGACGAGCTTAATGATCTGAAATTTGCAGTGAAAAGGAAAGCCAGATAGACACTATCACACACTCACCACTATGCGACGCGTTTCGCCGTTGGTTAAGCGGCTCATCAGGCATATTTGATGTGGATGATGGCTTACAAGGGCCGTTCTCTGGAAAGTAGTATATATTTCGAACTTATTGCAAATTAGCATATGCGAATTATACACTAGAAACTCTCCAGGTTCGACTCAAGTTCTATTGGCAGATCTTTTTCACAGCAACGTTTTGTTTTTGTAGTGATGGATTTTTTGTCCACAACAACTACATTGCTTCCAATGCATACACTTGTTTTAGTGCTGCTTTAGGAAGACGGGTTAATGGCTCTGAACGTAGAGACGGCAACTTCTAGTTGGCTGCACACAGAGGTCCGCGGTTCAAATCCCACAGCCAGGCTCGGCTGAATTTTTGAGTTTTGCCTTGTTAAGGCGAAGATCATATGTTTTATGATTTAAGTGTTTGTTTTCTCTTTCGAGACGAGCTTAATGATCTGAAATTTGCAGTGAAAAGGAAAGCCAGATAGACACTATCACACACTCACCACTATGCGACGCGTTTCGCCGTTGGTTAAGCGGCTCATCAGGCATATTTGATGTGGATGATGGCTTACAAGGGCCGTTCTCTGGAAAGTAGTATATATTTCGAACTTATTGCAAATTAGCATATGCGAATTATACACTAGAAACTCTCCAGGTTCGACTCAAGTTCTATTGGCAGATCTTTTTCACAGCAACGTTTTGTTTTTGTAGTGATGGATTTTTTGTCCACAACAACTACATTGCTTCCAATGCATACACTTGTTTTAGTGCTGCTTTAGGAAGACGGGTTAATGGCTCTGAACGTAGAGACGGCAACTTCTAGTTGGCTGCACACAGAGGTCCGCGGTTCAAATCCCACAGCCAGGCTCGGCTGAATTTTTGAGTTTTGCCTTGTTAAGGCGAAGATCATATGTTTTATGATTTAAGTGTTTGTTTTCTCTTTCGAGACGAGCTTAATGATCTGAAATTTGCAGTGAAAAGGAAAGCCAGATAGACACTATCACACACTCACCACTATGCGACGCGTTTCGCCGTTGGTTAAGCGGCTCATCAGGCATATTTGATGTGGATGATGGCTTACAAGGGCCGTTCTCTGGAAAGTAGTATATATTTCGAACTTATTGCAAATTAGCATATGCGAATTATACACTAGAAACTCTCCAGGTTCGACTCAAGTTCTATTGGCAGATCTTTTTCACAGCAACGTTTTGTTTTTGTAGTGATGGATTTTTTGTCCACAACAACTACATTGCTTCCAATGCATACACTTGTTTTAGTGCTGCTTTAGGAAGACGGGTTAATGGCTCTGAACGTAGAGACGGCAACTTCTAGTTGGCTGCACACAGAGGTCCGCGGTTCAAATCCCACAGCCAGGCTCGGCTGAATTTTTGAGTTTTGCCTTGTTAAGGCGAAGATCATATGTTTTATGATTTAAGTGTTTGTTTTCTCTTTCGAGACGAGCTTAATGATCTGAAATTTGCAGTGAAAAGGAAAGCCAGATAGACACTATCACACACTCACCACTATGCGACGCGTTTCGCCGTTGGTTAAGCGGCTCATCAGGCATATTTGATGTGGATGATGGCTTACAAGGGCCGTTCTCTGGAAAGTAGTATATATTTCGAACTTATTGCAAATTAGCATATGCGAATTATACACTAGAAACTCTCCAGGTTCGACTCAAGTTCTATTGGCAGATCTTTTTCACAGCAACGTTTTGTTTTTGTAGTGATGGATTTTTTGTCCACAACAACTACATTGCTTCCAATGCATACACTTGTTTTAGTGCTGCTTTAGGAAGACGGGTTAATGGCTCTGAACGTAGAGACGGCAACTTCTAGTTGGCTGCACACAGAGGTCCGCGGTTCAAATCCCACAGCCAGGCTCGGCTGAATTTTTGAGTTTTGCCTTGTTAAGGCGAAGATCATATGTTTTATGATTTAAGTGTTTGTTTTCTCTTTCGAGACGAGCTTAATGATCTGAAATTTGCAGTGAAAAGGAAAGCCAGATAGACACTATCACACACTCACCACTATGCGACGCGTTTCGCCGTTGGTTAAGCGGCTCATCAGGCATATTTGATGTGGATGATGGCTTACAAGGGCCGTTCTCTGGAAAGTAGTATATATTTCGAACTTATTGCAAATTAGCATATGCGAATTATACACTAGAAACTCTCCAGGTTCGACTCAAGTTCTATTGGCAGATCTTTTTCACAGCAACGTTTTGTTTTTGTAGTGATGGATTTTTTGTCCACAACAACTACATTGCTTCCAATGCATACACTTGTTTTAGTGCTGCTTTAGGAAGACGGGTTAATGGCTCTGAACGTAGAGACGGCAACTTCTAGTTGGCTGCACACAGAGGTCCGCGGTTCAAATCCCACAGCCAGGCTCGGCTGAATTTTTGAGTTTTGCCTTGTTAAGGCGAAGATCATATGTTTTATGATTTAAGTGTTTGTTTTCTCTTTCGAGACGAGCTTAATGATCTGAAATTTGCAGTGAAAAGGAAGGCCAGATAAAATGTTATATCCAAATTCCAGGATTCCAACTCTACAGGTTCTCCCAAAACGTAAATTGTACAAAATTTAGTTTACATACCACAATTCTACAATGCAATAGTAATCTTATTTTAAAATTTCAGCATTCCACATCTATCTAACATCTAACCAAAACTTAAATTGTACCAAAATTAGAACAAGTTAGTAGACATAAATACGAATTTCTAAGACTACCTACGTACCTCAGACCCACAATGCAATAGTAATCTTATTTCCAAATTGCGGTATTCCAACTCTATAGATTCTCCCAAATCATAAATTGTACAAAATTAAGTATTAGTACTTTTCATACACTTATAGTAAGAATTTCCGAAAACCCATTGGTTATTGGTGATCCTCATTCCAAATTTAAGAGTTCTAGCTTTTCTAGTTCATCAAATACAAAGGTTACCATATTTAGTGCCTTTTTGGTATTTTCGTACCATTCTAGTACGAATTTCTAAAAACTCTTCGGAATTCTAACTTGTTCTAATCTCAGTGTTAAATCTTCTTTAAAACCTACTTACATTTTTCCTTTTTTCATTTAATTTTAGTTTTCACTATTGTTTGCCCTGGTATGGGCAACAACAAATATAGAAGTTCAAGGGCAATCCTATTCAAGAAGTTATTTAAATTCTGGAGTAACACCCACTTCACATTATTATCACCATCAAAGCAGCGGCTTTGTTCCATTGACATATAAAAGCGACTTGATACATGAAGAAACCAAACATAGATCCTCCAAGTATTCAAAGAAACCTTATAAAAGCTATAGTTCGGTGAGTTTTTAAGATTTTTTTATTCATAACTTTTCCATACAAAGCATGCTATTTTATAAAAATAATTTAGAATTCATATTACTTTCAGGACGAAGACGATACCTCTTCGGAACGTTATACGTCGGATGTGTATTCAAACGAGGCCAGACATCCTTATTTGGGCAAGGATCATGACAGTCGAGAATATACAATTGGTACACACATCAGAGTACAACATCCCATAAGTGTGCCGAAAAAAATCAAATCTGTTTCCCATCCCACAAAGAGTAGTAAATACTCAACCATATCCAATGCCGGCGGAAGTTATTCTCTTGACAACTCTCAGGAACAACGTGCCGCACCGGAATATTTTACAAGTGCAGTTAAAAAACAGAAGTTCTCCAAACTCTACGATCCCGATCCATTCCATGTCATTGCACCACCAAAATCTACAGTTGCTTCTCATATTAACCACCATTCAACGCCAAGCTATGATGTTTACGAGCCACACATAGATTCCTATGAAAACTCTGATATTCCCCTAAAATCGCTGAAATCAAATCAACGTGATCGTTTCAATGGCGTTGCATCGAAAAAGCAAATCGAACAGTATTTGGAGGATCAGGAGAAACTTCTGGATGAAGCCTTAAAATTACAATTGCTGAGCAGTCCGAAATTCCAAAAACTTTTGAAGTCGACCGAAAAAGAACATTTCCACAAAGAAGTTGACTTTGAGGATGAATATGTAGCCAATGCCCCGCCACCATATCGTGAACAATTTCCCAAACCAGCTGCCTTGCCTCCAAGTGGAAAGAGATCTCGTCGTCGTCCTCCAACATCAGAATTCAGTCGCCCACACAAGACGTTAGTTCTTTCCAAACCCAATCGGAAATATCGTCAGGCGTACGTCATCGAAGTTTAGGCAGCAGAATTTTGTTTTTGTTTTTTCATTTGTATATGACTAATTATTCTTCATTTAGAACTAAGTATAATTTATAATGCATGTAGTTAAGATTATTAGTTTAGTAGATTTGTGAACCGTACTTCGTGGTATTAATGTTAGTGTTCTTTTGTTTCAATAAATAAACAATTTGAAATAAGATTTATACTAATTGGAATGTAATTGGAGGATGAAAATGATAATACAATTATTACATATATACTTATTTCTTTGACGTAGTAATGTTATTTATTTACACTAATGTTATTTTTTTACACTCACCCTTATATCTAAGGTTGTATGTATCATTTGATAGGCCAGCATGTGACTCCTCCAAATAATGGGTGTACACTCTAGGAATGAGATATCGGCAATATCGGTCCATCGGTCCATGTGACACCTCACCCACAAAATGAAAAAACCCAAAAAAAAACACAAAACAAGTTAAAAAGTATCAGTCGGTATTGCCGCCAGAGATATACCCTCAGCCTATGTTCGATTATCTAAATATATTTTGACTATTGTTAAGGTTATTCAAACGTTTGACCCTCTATGGAGCAGATCCCGAAGGAATGGGTCAATATTGCCCATTTCCTATTTCGACAGATGTGCCAAGTCTAAACGGAATCGGATGTTAATTTGGCGATTTATGAGCTTCATGGGTACTCAAAATTTCAATATTTTGTGGGGGAGGTACTTGATGGAGTGGACCGATATTGTCCATTTTCACACCTGTCCTAGCACTGACGCAAATATTAGGATTCGCAAAGTCGGAGCTAATTCGGATTAGCCTTTCTCTTTCTGTGCAAAAAATTTTTTTTTTTTGAAAATTTCGACCTTTTGTGGGGGAGGTACCAGAAGGAGTGGGCCGATATTGTTCATCTTAACACAAGACCTTGGGTTAATATAAATATTGGGATGTGTGAAATTTGAAGACAGTCGGACTCTTACATAACATTTTATGAGAGTTGTAATTATTCAAAATTTTGACCATTTGTGGGGGAGGTACTTGATGGAGTGGACCAATATTGTCCATTTCAACACCTGCCCTAGCACTGACGCAAATATTAGGATTTGCAAAGTTGGAGCAAATTCGGATTATCCTTTCCCTTCCTGTGCAAAAAATATATTTTTTGAAAATTTCGACCTTTTGTGAGGCAGGTACCAGAAGGAGTGGACCGATATTGCCCATCTCCGAACTCGATCTAAGTTTGACAAAAATATTACGTTGTAGCCAATTTGGACCAAATCGAATACTTCCTTCGAGAGTTATCGTGCGCACCAGCCAGACAGACAGACAGACGGACGGACGGACGGACGGACATCGCTAGATCGACTCCAAATGTTCTGAAACGGATTTGAAAACGGATAGGGTCTAAAACCGTTATTTCGACTAGGCACGTTTTGGCCGTATCAAATGATATATACCCTCTGTAGCCATATGGCTGAGGGTATAAAAAGGTCAAAAGTCGGGCGTGGCCCCATACCACTATGTACAGGGTGAGATGACTGCATCCAACTTCAGACTGCTGCCGTTTCAACGCCACTCGTCCGACAGCTGTTAAAATTATTCCAGTGACAACTCATTATATTGAATTTTGCTGAGAAATTTCCAGAGGAAAAGTTATTCGTGATGGAATTCAAGCGTGATAGTGTAATTTCTTTATATTTGGCTGGAAAACCACAAGTGGCTATCGTTAGAGCACTCCAGCATATAAATGTGAATAATTCTTTTGTGTTTCGTACCATCGCTTGTTACCGTAATGCTGCTAGCATAGCCCGACGTAAAGGAAGTGGACGGAAGATAACAGCAGCATCAGCAGAAATGGTTCGAAAAGTAAAGAAGCGACTTAATCGAAACCCGCGTCGCAGTGGCCGAAAAATAGCTCGTGAACTGAACATATCGCAATATTCCATTCGGCAAATATTGAAAAATGAGCTCGGGGTAAAGCCATTGAAATTTCAAAAAGTACAAGAACTTACACCACAACATATAGAAAATAGACTCAAAACAGCTAAAGAGTTGCTTCGCTTGGCCGAAATTTTGATTGGGCCAAAATTTGTAACACCGCGATATATTGGTCCTAGACCCACGATCTGGCAATATGTGTCCGCCCTTCTGTCCATGGGCAAAAGTGTGGCATTTTTGATTGTCAACAAAAAAAATTAGCGGGTAAAATGGATCAAAACTTTTTTGCAAAATTGTTCTGAAAAACTATCACAACAAAAGAGAGCTTAAAGATAGGGCAAATGTTACCGATCAAAAACGAAAGTTATCATTTTTCATTATTTCTTACAAAAAGAATTTGATAGGCCCGCACTCATATAGCCTCTGTTTGCTCGTTATTGGTAGAATATGAATAATATTAACATACTAAGAATATATCTTGCAATGTGATCGTCTACATACAGAACCAATTCGTATACAGGATATACATACCTATGTACTTTATAAGGTTTAAACCACCGGTTTTGCTTGAATTGCATTCTCACCACCATCTAGTAAAAGTCCAGATTTTGTTAATAAACCTTCGTTCATAAGATTTCTTTGCAAATTGAATTTCATCAATATGTCGCAAAATTTTTGAATGTGTGTCGACAATATGACGATGCGGAACTCGAGGTATTGTAAATGTTGCGCAATGATATGCTATGGCTGGAAATTTACAATTAAGAATTTCGTTAATTTTAGCCTTTATTTTAAAATGTTTTGCCTCTTTTCTTTATTTGAGAATTCCAATTCAAAAAAATATTCAAATTTTTAAAAATCTAAAAATACATATTGTCAAAAGTGAAAGTTTAATATCATTGTAAAAATAATATAATATACATAGCAAATGCCAGCTACTTCGTCAGCGAAAAGTCCGCTTTAACAATTTAGATTCGTTCCATAAAACTCAAAATGCATAATTTGTTTATTTTGACAAACACTAAGGAGGTAGAACAGCTTCGTAAAACTGCAGAAATACAACTTTGAGGCTGTGCGCACTTTCTGTCAGACTGCTGTCATTTTTAAGCCACTCGTCCGACAGCTGTTAAAATTATTCCAGTGACTATATAATGTTTACAAACGTACCAAAGCCTTTTGGTGAGAATTTTCCAGAAGTGGACGGAAGAAAACAGCAAAATCAGCAGAAATGGTTCGAAAAGTAAAGAAGCGACTTGATCGAAACCCGCGTCGCAGTGGCCGATAAATGGCTTGTGAGCTGAATTGCAAAATTTTCCTTTCCATTCGGCTAATATTGAAAAATGAGCTCAGGGTAAAGCCATTGAAATTCCAAAAACTGCAAGAACTTACACCGCAACAGAAAGAAAATTGACTCAAAAGAACTGAAGAGTTGCTTCGCTTAGCCGAATGGGTTGAACTGCCGAATTTGGTTTTCTCCGATGAGAAAACATTCGTTGTCCAGCAGTTTGTAAACAAGCAAAATTATCGTGTGTACTTGCCAAAAAGGTCATCTGAAAATGTGCACTTTCGTTTGGCCACCAGAACTCAATCGCCGGACATTGCGATGGTGTGGGCCGCCATAACAGCCGATGATCGCTCGTATTAATCGAGCACAAATTCCGAATTTTGTAAAGTAAGGTTGGCACTAAAAAATTACAAAGTGTCGATCATCTCAAATAAGCGCTTCGCCGGGAATAGGACAAAATACCGCAGAGCAACATTCGAGCAAGGCGTGAGGGTTTCATTGGTCGTGTAATCAGTTGGGAGCTCTACCTTACCTTTTTATTGTAACATGCATCGTACCATAGCTCAATAAGAAATTTTGCTCAACTTCAAAGAAACTAGAAAAATGCAACTCTGTGACGGAGTCTTATAGCGTCAAATAGGCTTTTAAATATGCAATAGTTGTTTTTATAAAAAACAATGTTTACCAGAGGGTAAGGCACGGAATGCAATGCACGATTTCGGAAAGCGACGCCAATCCTCAGTCAGTTCTCTTGTGTTTCTTCTGGGAGTTATTTCAAAATAACTCCTATGACAAAAACTTTTTTAACCCAAGTGACGAGATTGTAAGCTCAATAAAATAGGAACCAAAGAATTAAACTAAAATTCTTTTGGAAAGTCTTCCTAATATTACAACTACATTTATCAACATTTTCATCTCTCTCCACTTGTTCTGCTTTCGTTTACCTGAACGAAATAGCATAACCATATATGTTGACACCAACTTATAACCAGACCTAAAACCAACAGTTATCGTATTATAAAAATTCAGCTCTATCCCTTCATCCAATACCAAATTTAATTTAATTTAAATCTTTACGACAATAGTGCGCATTTCCAAACCAAATATAAAATTTCAGAATTTTATATATATCCCTTCAACCAAGACTAAATTCAATACCATTCAGCATTTATCGTACAATTTTAGTAAACATTTCCAAAACCACCTCCATGTGTCCAAGCTGCATATGAACAACGGCCGTAATATCAAATTTCTGATTTCAAGCACCATCTGTTCAAACAAATTCCAAATTGTACCATACATAGTAATATTAAGTACTTTTCGTACACTTGCGGGACACATTTGCAAAATCGCCTTTTTATCACAAACCTACTATCAACAGGGAAACCACCAACATTTGAAAATTCCTAAACCAAACTGTTTTAAACTTAGTACCATTTAGTAACGTTCGTACACTTAGTACATAGTTTCAAAACCATCTTCATATATCAAACTTATTTTCCAACCTTGATTCTCGTATTAAATTTCAATTTTTTAACTCTATCTATTCAGATAGAACCAAATGAAGTGTTTCACGTACAAACAAACAACTTTTGTCAAACTCATATTAAAATGTACAAAAAAGTATTAAATATTCTCCGAAATTCGATTTGCATTCTCAAATTTGGCTAATAGTTATTTCTGATATGGAAGCATCGAAAATGGATGTTCGTATGGAAATTTGTACTAAAACTTTTTTAAACAGTAATTTCGAATATGGATAACAACGGACCGATATGTGAGATGAGAGAAAAAGTTTTGAGATATTCAGATTAAACGGTTTTAAATATAATATTTTCGTTTGATGTTAATTCTCTACATTTTGTCACATAAGAAGTTGATAATCATTCGACTATTACCTACTTAATCCATATATGTTTCTT